CGGTTTACAGTACATGTTGTAGTATAAATCCAGATGGTATGTTTGCTGCTGTAAAACTAATATCTTTATATTCATTTTATAGTGTATTTGAAAATCCTCATATTGTACACATGCTTGAGTGAATAAACTTTTCTGTCCGTCTGTAAATATGTTCACAAGAGAAAATATAAGAAGTGGGGTATACGAGTGAAATACAATTTGATCTAATTAAAATATAAAACAAACAAACTTTCCATTTATTTCATGGTTAAAACTGTAGGGGTTTGAAGTCATTTTTACCGATTTGCCTTGTAACGACATATTATGCACTCTAATTCATGATGTCATCACATTATTGTTAAATTAACATCAAATTGTTCTTGTTGAAAAATAATTTAGTAAAATTTTAAGAAACATGTTACATTTTAAAAATGATATGTGCAGAATAATTCATGTGCTTCTCATAATCAAGCATATTTTACTCGTAACTTCTAATTCTTTTTTAGACATTATATTCCTGATGATATTTCGTCTTAGTTAGTAATATTCTTTTCATCTGCATTCATATAATTATAGACAGGTTACAGTGGGGAAAAATGGTTTATATTTTTATTGTAAAATTATCAAAATAAAATTTCACTGTCCGCTGAAAAGCAATATTATACGGTAATAAGATAAATAATACCAAATATAAATTGATAAAATAACTTACAAATCATTTCATATAAATACCAGTGCAGTTTACCACTACCTTCCATGAAAGGCTTAATCAAACCGAGCCAGCAACATTTTAAATTTCACCCTTTTGGGTATTCTAAAAAGGGATTCTGTTTTTCTCTATTTAATTAAATACAGTCAAATATTTCAAGCGACCATGTGTAGCTAGTGATTTGTTCTCTTCAGAGTTCACATTGGATTCAACATGTTCAATTCAACACTATATAATTAGATTCTATTCAATGTGCAAAGTGATTTTTCTCAAGGCTGCTAATTAATCACACCTTATGGTAACTTATTTTGTCAACAAGTGATCAATTTTTAATAGTTGCATGTAATCCCTGGAATTTGACAAAAATGGGTATTTCCAAGCTAATCCCCCAGTACAATGTTTTTACTGATATAGCTTCAAGGTGCACAACAGATTTATGTCAACTTGTTGCGCTTATTTTCCAAGCTGTAACTGTAAAAGTTTGCTTATTACTGTTACCACTGGATTAGCTGGAAAAAACAAAATATTGCTTATTCTGGAGAAAGTATATTGTCTGTTAAATTGGCATTATTTATGCAACATCATGCTATGTCTTAAGAAGATGTTGTATTAAGCAACCATTTTTGGCTTTTCCCCATGAGTAGTCTCTTATACAAATTTGACTGTACATGTATAACACAAAGATTGTTCTGTATGGGGCAGGTATAATACTGGTCATGTAGGTATGGAAACTATAATATTTAAAATAAAACTTCTATTCAACTAGAACTCTGCGAGTCGGATGTGTCGCCTTGTGAACAAAATAGTTTAGGAGCAATGGCCGGGACAAAATGAAATATGAAAATTAACAAAGGGCAATAACTCAAAAAATAAGAAATGCATAGTACCAGTTCTTGTGCACTGCACTTTTTCTTAATGAGATCTATCATCCTATGAAGTTTCAAGTCCATAGCTGTAATACTTTAGGAGAAATGGCCTGGACAAAAAAAGGATGAAAATTAACAAAGGGCAATAACTTAAAAAATAAGTAATGCAGTCAGTACCAGTTCTTGCGCACTGCATTTTCTTCTTTGTGAGATCTATCATACTATGAAGTTTCATGTCATTAGCTTTTATACTTTAAGAGAAATGGCCCGGACAAAAATAAAGTATAAACATTAACAAAGGGCAATAACTCAAAAAATAAGAAATGCAGAGTACCAGTTCTTGTGCACTGCACTTTTTCTTAATGCGTTCTATCATCCTATAAAGTTTCATGTCCATAGCTTTTATAAATTAGGAGGAATGGCCCGTACAAAAATAAAGTATGAAAATTGTTTAACAAAGGGCAATAACTCAAAAATAAAAAAGTGCAGAGGACTGGTTCTTGTGCACTGCACTTCAAGTCATTATAAAAAGCATGCATACCAAGTTTGAAGTCAATCCGACTTATTATGACTGACTTATGCTCCGGACAAGCTTAAGGGGCCGCTGCCACCGACAAAAGTAACCCCTATATGTCGCCTTTTTGAAGGAGACACAAAAACTGAGGCTATACATGAACAATGAATTAATGTTACTCAGTTAAATTGGCAATTGTATTTTCTTGTCCCAGTGACCTTTTATATCCAGCTTTTACTTAAGTGTATCTTCACTGAAATCTTACCAATGCATGAAGACATATCCTATCCAGTTACAGAGTAAATTTCATACCCTTACAAATATCGTAATTCTCAAAAAATGTGTGCTTATTTCTATTAGTAATGTCTTCTACAAACTTGTCAGATTGACTTATATGTTCTTGTCTTTGACTCTGATATGTCCTTCAATATAATAGTAGCTCCATTAAGATCCAAAACCCAAAGATTTTTAATTCTTATAACATCAACACTTTATGGGCACTTTTTTTTTGGTTGGGTTTTACATAGGCTCCCTTTGCAGCTCAGTGAATACACTTACGTTACTTCACACAAAGTGAACAAAGGTGAAATATTCGGCCGATACCAAGTAGAGTAGGTTTTACATTGCACCAACACAGTGTAGGTCAAATGGTGACATTCCAGCTTTACTTGTGGAGGAAGCTACCGCTGTGCCCTTCCATGCATTATTTCAGGCATGAATAGGCAACTGAGTAATAAGTAAGTAACAAATTTATTTAATGAGGCTAACACATTTGATTTCCCAATCTTCCATGCGATGCCTCTGTAAGAACCATTGGGCATTCCTTACTCTAGCTGAATAGCTTCCCCACATGAAAGAATCCAAAGTCCCAGTCGAGATTCCAACCCACAGCAGTGAAGGGACAAGTAGTGTGAAGTCAAGGACCTTCATCATTCAACATTTGACCTTGCTGACCTCTTTAAATCACAGTAACTGTTAAATATTAGGCTACAACATTTTGCCTTTTAAAAGCAATCATTTTAGAATTAATGTTTGTAAGTCTGGTGTCTTTTCAAAGAATCTTTCCTGGTAAACCATACATCACACAGGTCACACTTAAATGGTTTTTCTCCCGTGTGTGTTCGGGTATGTCTCTGTAGATGGGCAAAACATTTGAAGACTTTTTGACAGAATTGGCAGACATGTAAACTGATCCCGTGATGAAGTCTTAGTCCATCTGGTAAGTCATCTTCACCTGTAATTATATATATATAATTTATATATGACATGAATTTATTTGTCCATAGATCACTACAGTATATTTCTACCATTAATCTATTTTTATCTAATCAAAAGCACGTTTGTTGATATTGTCAGAATGTAATGTTAGTTTGTTTAATGTGGATATATTCATGAGAAAAGCATGAGAGAATTAAAGAAAAATGTTAGTTAATATTCATACTTCTATTACTATGTAAATAGAACAATAATTAATTAATTTATGCAGCACCATGAATCCAATGCAACTGATAAGTGAATCATAATGATAGTCAAAATTACAATATTGTTAATGATCCTGGATTTGATGTATAACAAAGAAAACATTACTGATAGAATCAAAGTCATGAAAATATTAACTGTGTTGGCATTTTAGGCATTTTGAAAAACTGAATCAATGCATCATACAGCATATGCATGGGCAACATCTTGAATTCAATTTAAATTGTAACTATATTTCTTTGTCAAAGATCATTAGTTGGCATGTTTACAATATAAACCATAGTACATGTATACAATAAAACAAAGAACATATATATATAATGTCCTTGTTCATAGTAATATACTTGTACACTATTATAATAAAATATCTCTTAATAATACTTGTGTGTAAATAAAACTTTGTTCACTCAATCATGGATCTTTTGAATACTCCCTTTTATCCTGGAGTTCCTGCAAAATCCTTCTATCAATAATTAATAGTATTTTTCTACCTTGGATAACTTGAACGCCTGTAGCTCAAACTTTTGAACATTAACGCTAATCCCTTCAACAGAGATACAGTGAAATTCACACCTTTTTGGTCTAACACAAAATGACAACAAAGGCCTGTTTTTAAATATCAAAATTATTATGCTTCTTTAGAGGTGACTTCTTTTACTGAGAAACAACTTGAAAGAAGCTACAATGTTACATGCCTGATTCTTTTATTACCCACCAAAGTGTCAACAAGATTTACATGAAAATGTAGTATTACTTTAGCAAGTATCTTTAAAGCATTTAATCCCCGTGAGAGGTACATTGTATTTATAATCATACCAATAGTATCACTTGCTATTATTTCATGAAGTACATTTGAAGCATCAATAATGAATGGTGGAGTAAAATTGAAGTATCATTTCTTTATGCACATATAGTGCATCATTTGGTGTGAAGCACATTTGAAGCATCAATAAATTTTGTGCAGTATCACTTGCTATCATTTCATGAAGCACATTTGAAGCATCAATAATATTGGTAAAGTACAACTGAAGCATGACTATTTTCATTATGCACATTTTGAGCATCATTTGTTAAAGGACATTTGAAGCATCATTATATGGATAAGATTTGAAGCATGACTTTTTTGTCTAAATAAATCTATAATCATTTGAACAAGAGCACAGCACATACAGTTTTCAAGTTACTGAGCAAACATTGATGAGGTTAACTGACAGACAGATGGACAGGCTAACAAACACAATACCATTACATTACTTATGGTACCTCCGGATGTACAAAAAACACATTTGAAGCCATCATTTCATACTGCACATTTTGAAGCATAACTTCACACCAGACAACTGATTTTCAAAAACATGAACCCATTTTAAGATGAAACCAGATTTATTACTGTTATACCAATATCTTAAATGAATGGATATATAAAAATGAAGACCAGATTTTTTTTTTTTCAAATGGTTCATTAATTTTAATCAAACTCTCACAATCTACATGTCATTTTCATTTTTCAGGCTCTTTCTTTTCCCTTTGGATCGTTTTGATGTCAGGCTGGATCTCATCGCTCTAAGGATTTCTACTCTTGTAGAATCTGAGTTACAGACTGAGAAAGCTGAAACAAAACAAAGAAATGTTTATTAATACTTTTTTTAGTATGGAATTTTTATTGTCATAACAATCTTCTTTCATTAAAATCTCTTTAAACCTTTAAAGGGACTCCACTCAGGTGTTTTGGCATTATATAACTTGATAAATTTTTGGTGATTAAAGGGTATAAATCTTTATCTTATGAAATATTTTAATAAAATATATCACAGTAAAATTATATTGGTTCCATTATTATATGGTTGATTCCTGAAAAAGTTGTGACATACAATGTCTCTTTTATTTAATACACATGAATAATGTATATAAACAGAATAAAATGTTCCAGACCAAAATACTATTTTGCTTTATTAAGTAGGGTTCAAGATTTTGTGCATGCGCAATTCGCTTTTAAGGTAATAAATTACCATATTTATTTCATATGTATGCATTTTGGAAGCAATTACTTTATTAAAGTTCAAACAATTATTTTGCGCATCAAATATATAATATAGTGTTATACACTTTAATGTACTATTAGATATGCTTTTAACTTAAAGATTCACAATCAAAATCACCATTTTAAATTCAATATAGAGTACATGTATCTTTCTTTATTATATTTTATATGTCTTTATTTTTTAAAATGTCCCAGTTGATCTATGTTGGAAAATCAAATTGTATCTTTTTTGGCTTTTTGACCTTAGTGGAGTTCCTTTAATTCTTTGTTAAAATGAAAAGTGGTTAGCTTTAAAATGGCCACATGTATGTATGCATAGCTTGCATTTCCCTACAGGTTGACCATGACCAATACTATTGGTAGCTCAGTTTTTGTAATTTCATAATAAAACCCCTAATCCTTCTTATGGACTGTTCCAAATTCAAAGCTGGGTAAGTCCATTACACAATTTTAGCAGGATCAGGGTTAAATCCAAACAGAGAGCTTATAGAGAAAATAGACAAGTACATACATAAATATTTCTTTTCAAAAGAAAGCCATTGCTTTTCCTTTTTTACTTACCAACAATGGCATCCACAATTTGTTTATTCAAGGCTTGGTACATTGCTTTGTCTGAATCACTCAGACTGCTCCTTGCAAGCTCTTCTTGTGAAAAGAAGACAGTTAGCAGGTATCTGCCAACTCGCTTTCCATCTCGTTTTGAGTCCTGGGAGTCACACTTTGTTCTAAGAGACACAGTTGGTGCTGCCTTTGATAGAGCCGTCTTATACTGGTCCTGGTGAACAAACGCTCTCATTCCTTTAACAAGCTCAACCATCTGAATGAAAAAGATAACATTTTCAATATAAGAATGTGTGAATACAAGAATGTGTGAATACAAGAATGTGTGAATACAAGAATGCGTGAGTTCAAGAATGTGTGAGAACGACAATGTGAATTCAAGAATATGTGAATAGGAGAATACAGGAATACATGATTCAAGAAATGATATTGTTTATACAAGAATATGTGAATACAAGAATATGGCAAATATGAGAATACATAAAATACCAGAATACGTGAATGGTACATTAATGTGTGTGACTATACAATGTACAATATTGGAAAATATTTTAGAATACAAAACAAGAGGGCCATGATGGCCCTGAGGTCGCTCACCTGTATATAGGCCCCCCCAACCCCCACCCCCAACGTTGCAGGGCCAATTTAACCCAAGGGCTTTTATTTGCACAAACTTGGTAGACACCCATAAGAAGATGTTTCATGCTAAACATCTAAGGTCTAGCTCATTGGGCTTTTTAAAAGAAGATTTTTTTTAAGTTTTTACTATACACATATAGTTAAAAACAATGACACCCCTGGGCCGGGCCAGTTTTGACCCCAGGGCTTCTATTTGAACAAACTTTGTAGACACTTACTAGAAGATGTTTCATGCTTAATATCTAAACACTAGCTATTTGGGTTTTTTCAAAGAAGATTTTAAGTTTTTGCTATACACATATAAAGAAAATCAAAGACCCCCAGGGCGGGGCCAATTTTGACCCCAGGTCTTTTATTTGAACAAACTTTGTAGACACTCACTAAAAGATGTTTCATGCTTAATATCTTAACTCTAGCTATTTGGGTTTTTTCAAAGAAGATTTTTTTAAGTTTTTGCTATACACATATAAGGAAAATCAATGACCCCCTGGGCGGTGCCAATTTTGACCCCAGGGCTTTTATTTGAACAAACTTGGTAGACACCTATGAGAACATGTTTGATGCTAAATATCTTAGCCATAGCTCTTTGAGTTCTTTAAAAGAAGATTTTTTAGGTTTTTACAATGTGCATATAGGGAAAATCAATGACCCCCCGGGGCGGGGCCAATTTTGACCCCAGGGCTTTTATTTGAACAAACTTGGTAGACAATTATTAGAACAGGTTTCATGCTAAATATCTTAGCTCTAACTCTTTTGGTTCTTTAAAAGAAGATTTTATAAGTTTTTACTATATAGGGAAAATCAATGACCCCCTGGGTCGGGGCCAATTTTGACCCAAGGGCTTTTATTTGAACAAACTTGGTAGACACCTATTAGAACATATTTGATGCTCAATATCTTAGCCATAGCTCTTTGAGTTCTTTAAAAGAAGATTTTTTAAGTTTTTACTATATGCATATAGGGAAAATCAATGACCCCCTGGGGCGGGGCCAATTTTGACCCCAGGGCTTTTATTTGAACAAACTTGGTAGACACCCATTAGAACATGTTTCATGCTAAATATCTTAGCTCTAGCTCTTTGGGTTCTTTAAAAGAAGATTTTTTAAGTTTTTACTATATGCATATAGGGAAAATCAATGACCCCCCGGGGCGGGGCCAGTTTTGACCCCAGGGCTTTTATTTGAACAAACTTGGTAGACACTCACTAGAAGATGTTTCATGCCAAATATCTAAGCTCTAGCTCTTATGGGTTTTTAAAAGAAGATATTTAAAGTTTTTTCTTTCGGTTGCCATGGCAACCAGAGATCTGCATGGAATTAAATTCTTTGAACAATTTTCAAAGGTGACCACCAAAGGAACATTCCTGTGAAGTTTGGATGAAATTGGCTTAGTGGTTTATGAGGAGATGTCATTTAAAGTAAAAGTTTACGGACGGACGACGGACGACGGACGGACGGACGGACGGACGCCGGACGAAAAGCGATCACAAAAGCTCACCCTGTCACTTTGTGACAGGTGAGCTAAAAACCAGTTCTAAAGTAAAATTAAGCTGCAAGAACTGTTGGAAAACCAAAGGGCTAAATGTCTAAAAAATTATTTAGAGGAATTTCCAGGCCTTGACTTCATTTCAACTAAAAAAATCTAGCTTCTTCAGCCTAATATCCTGATCATGTAAATGACAAATCCTGTTCAATTGAACAAGAACTATTAGATAAACCTGTTATCATTTTGTTGAATATTTTTAAAGTTATAACTAAACAACAATATCATTAACGTCAATGGATGATTTCGGTTAACAGCAAATTCAACAAACACACAAAACCCGACACGTTTAATAATGGATAAATAATATTTTACTTACTCCATTTGCCAAAGCAAACTCTTGATCATATATTCCAGGCTTAGGTCTTGAGTACTGGTCTGCAATGGATGCATATTCTGGCCAACCTAAAAAAAACAAGATATTTGTAACTTAAAATACAACCTACTCATGAATGTCAACAAACAAATGTCAGGCAAAATAAATTAATAAAATAAAGGCCAGATTATAACTCAAAAATGAAATAAATGACCTTCATTTTTCAATGCATAGATCCTATTCTGACCTGTAATATGAATAACAATAAATTTATCCACAAACATTGACATGTGTTCTTTTGTTAACATAATGTTGTAGTGAAATTCTTATTGTAATCCACTAATCTGATAATTAGAATTAGACAGTCTCAGGTCAGATATCTCATTGCATTAAAATGCTTCAAGTAAAGTATTCTATAAACATGCAACATTTAAATAAATATTTTGAAACAATTTTTAATCTGTCAATATACATGTATTTATAAAATTATAAAACAGTAGCAATACTTATTAAAAAACCCAACTCCACACAGCTATTAATATTTTTAATTAATATTTCCCCCCTAATTATTAGCCAAATCATGGTCATATTCAGAAATGGTAAAAATGTATTTTTTGTATGATGCCAGATAGACAGACATCCTTTACACTTTTTCATTTTACTACAATTTAGAGCTGTCCCCAAAAGACAGCTTGCATGCTTGACATTAAGAAAAGGGGCCTAAGTCTGTAAAAAAGTAACTCCAGAGTTATGGGACCTGTGCTAATATCATGTTGGATAATGACAGAAAACAAGTGTGTTGAACTTCAGCAGTTTTAGAGATACCAACTTGCATGCAAAAACTCAACTCAAAATGTGTGGGCCAATTGCTTACAATGTCCCCAATGCTAACTCTTTAAAATAATTCTACTTAGTTGAGCTAAAACTCAAGTTGGACAAATAAAACCTCTGTGTATGAGTGGGTAAGATCACCGAACCAAAAACACAAGCCTCTAGCCACTGTAACTGGGACTGTGGATTCCTTCCTGTGAGGAAGCTATCAAGCTTACATAGTCAGGTTCTATTTAGGTACCACACTGTTCATCTTTTAAATTATGAATTAAGTTAAGTACTTGAAGTATTTACTACCGTCTAACAGTACTGGTGTGACTTAAAACACAAACAGAAAAAAATCTAATTCATCATCATGACATTTTCTATAGTTAATTATCTATCCATTACCATGCTTCATTCAAGATCTGTTTAGTATTTGTCATAAATAAATAAGCTTGATTTTAATGTAGACCATAGCTAACACCTGGCTGAGACCCAGTTAGTGATAAACCTTAGAATGCACACTTGAGGGTGTCCTTGGCTAAACTGTGAAAGTCTTTGACTTCAAAGCCAGGAAACTTTTATTCTTTGTGAATAAGCTTGTGAGGAAGCTATAAAACTAGAACGTCAGTGGTTCTACTTAGGTGCACACTTGTGCCTGAAATAATTCACCATTTTAGGGGCTCCCGTTAGGTCTTCCTTCTCCTGTAAAGCAGGAAAGATGCAACATGACTATTACACTGTCAATGTGACCAAAACCCTCACCATGAAAACAACAAAACAATGCTGTCTGATCAGAGTCTACACTCAAGTCAATAATTATATTTTGAAACATTGAATGGACTGTTCCAAATTCAAAGCTGTACAGATCTGTTACAGAAATACAGCAAGTTAACAATCTTTATGTTATATTATATTGGTGGTGTATTCTTGTGTGGCAGTGAGCATTAATATCCAGAGTTGAAAAGTGTTGCTTCACATAAATAGCTTGCCATTAATTTAAATATGTCCATTCCAAATCACATTATCTTATACCTGACATATCTCACTGACCTTTGCTTTATCTATACTATTAATGATGATAATGATAAACATTGACATGATAATTAGACTAGAGGAAAGTCACCATTATTATCTTAACATACGTATTTCTACCAGTCAAAATAAAAGACATAGATTATGGAAAAGTAAGGAAACAAAATAATCTCTTTTAATCATAAAAAGTATAAATTCACTACAGATGTACACTACTGATAATCATACGAAGGTTTTTATATTACTTTTAAACTGCAATTAAGCTTATAATTGTTATGCTATATTAATCTTCACTTGTAAATGATTTGGTCAATGGAGTGTTTAGAATTTTGATGTCTCTTCATAGAATCTTTCCTAGAAAACCATAGATCACAATAGTCACATTTGAAGGGTTTTTCTCCGGTATGTATTCTCATATGTCTCTGTAGATGCGCGGCTGCTGGAAATATTTTCTGGCAAAACTGGCAAGCGTGCACGGTGAGGCCGTGAGGAAATCTTTGTCCGTCTGGCAAGCCATCATTATCTGAAAAATTTAAAGACAATTTGTTATAAATCATCAACATGAAAAATATTACCCTATATTTTTATTAAAAACATGCTTCAAAAATATAAATAAAAGAAAAATTACCACATAATAATCAATTAATGAAGTTCCACTGAAAATATAAAATTCTTAACTCTTACATAGATCATAGGCAACTAAAACCAGAAAAGAAATGTGAAAAAGATAATATTCAAAAAAATATCTTAGGAATTAAACTGAAAATCGGTATACATGTATAGTGCAATTCTTAACATGTTATGTTTTACCTCTTCATTATTTAAGGTCATTTATATGATCAAAAAATCCCTGGAGTCCATTTAAACGTAAGGCCTTGGTTGATATTTCTGTAGTAGTTATTGGTGATGATCAGAAGTGAATAAATTGATTTACTTTTTCATTCAGGCATGGCAAAAACAACAGGCCTCATGTTTCATTGCCCCAGTATCACATGTATTTCACTGCCAAACCTTACATACCAAAATGGCAGATTTTACTCCAGAATTTTATAGTACATTTCTAGTACCATACTGTCCAGGGTTTTGTTGCTAGGAGCACATATTGTCCAAACTATCCCAGAAGGTTTTTCATTAAAACATTGTGTCTTTTATGACATAAAAAGGAGTATAAAACTATATCTTATGAACTATTTTTTATAATGTTTATTAACAGTAAAATTACATTTTTTATTTTTCCAGTTATCTTACTGTCAATTTTCTCAAAGGAAATGTAACATAGAATGTCTCCGTTTTTTAACACACATCTTGTTCACTCCAGTAAGACAAAAACAACAGACCTCATATTTCATTGCCCTATCACATGTATTTGACTGCCAGAACCTTCTTGTATGTAAACAGAAAAAAATGTTATGCAACAAAATATTTATCTGCCTTTTTGAATTGGCTTTTACCCGTTTAATAATGATATCATGCATGTGCCATTCACTTTCAAGGTAATTTTTAAGGCAAATCAACTACCATATTTCTTTCATACAAACATTTTTAAAGCATTGTTTTGAAAAATACAAATTATAAATTTTGCAGCAGATATATAGCTATAGACACTTCAAATACTGGTAACCTAGCTATCCAGTTACATTTTCCAGCATCTGACTTACATGTAACTGACCCTATTTAAACTATATAGTATACATTCAAATAATCAGGTGAGCACAGACATTGTTATAAAGTATATCACCTTTTTTATTTAGAAATTTTACTTTTGACCCTATCAACTATAAAGTACACAAAAACACTGTCAAACAATCTAATAGTCTTTATTGCAAATTATATCAATTCAATTTATCTTCATTTATCTATAACAATTTAATTTCCTGCCAAAAGTACAACAAAATGAATGCATTTTACCTGACTGAAGACTAAAAGCTTAAAAACATAAAAATTTAAATCCTACATAAATCAACTGGAGCATTTAAAACAGAAAAGTAATTATAAATGTTATAAAGTGCACTTAATTAGAGTTGAAAGCATTAAATAAATGCTTTTCTTTTTTTACATAGTTTTGCACAATTTAAAACAACGACTATGCTTAGAAAAAAAAAACTGAGCAAATGATCTGAAATTTGGCACACAAGTTATTGATAAAAACCATCATAAAATACAAGTAGTATAAATATAAAAATCTCGAAAAAAAAATTCCAGCTCTGTGATGACAAAAATAAAGCTCAAAAATAAAGTATCACATATAAATAGGATTATCATCAAACATGATTGAAGTAAAAAATTTACATTTTTAATAAGACCAGAAAAAAAATATACAGACATAACTGTAGAAAGTACTGTACAATGTAACCCTGCACAAATACATGATAATTGATTTACCCAGGAACTTGGCATTTACAGTTACAACGTGGTAAATATATTGATATTTAAATCACATGTTGATCACTCTATTGTGATCAATAGTGCTCTAATAACTGTACAAGAATATTTGCATCAGTAAAGGAAAATTATACCTATTTGTGTAGTTTAACATTGTGTTAAATTGACAAATTAGTAATAACAAAGTTCATAAAAGCATTTGAGCCGCGTCATGACAAAACTAACATAATGGGTTTGCGACCAGCATGGATCCAGACCAGCCTGCGCCTCCATGCAGTCTAATCAGGATCCATGCTGTTGGCTTACAAACCCTATAACAAGTAGAGAAACTGATAGCGAACAGCATGGATCCAGACCAGACTGCGCGGAGGCTGGTCTCGATCCATGCTGGTCGCAAACCCACTATGTTGGTTTTGTCATGACGTGGCTCATTTCTTCTTTTCTGAAGTTGATCATTAACCATGTGATGGTTATGTGTCTTTACATGACTTTAAACCTGCATGTATTGCAGTCATATTTATCTTGTAAATGGGGAAAGGTAGAGAGGGAAGGGGGGGTTTAGTGAGAAGATTGTGCCTGCTGGATAAGGTACATTGTACCATGGTAATAGCATATAAGAATTGTCCATAAAACTACCTGGTCCAATGTCACTGTCAGAATTTCACTTGTTACACAGATTGAATATTTTACATAAAAGACTTAGGCTCCCTCATCCTTATAACTTGCATATATATAACCTTTTATGAAATCACTGTAATCAGTGTATAAACTACAAGCATTACAATATTTATAAACATTTTAAAATCCATTCTTAAAAATTCTTTTCCCACTTTATTTGATCTAAATGTTTAGACTGTTG